TAATCATCTTTGCTCACAGCGTTCCATAAAACATAAAGTAAATTAAATATGGAATTGTTTTAGATATTTTTCAGTGTGTTTATTATTTAAATTTATTTATTGATTATTTAAGGCAAAATATTAAATTATTGTGATTTAATGCAGTCACATGCTGGGAAGTAAACAGGACTAGGAACAGCACCCTTTTCGACTTTCATTTTTTTAATATAAATTTATTACGCAATTTAATTGCACGTAGGTTGTTCCATAATTATGAGATCGACAATTTTTTAGAATTCTTGACAATGTAGAACAACTACACATCACATAGGTAGTCTTAAAGTAACATTTTAAAAAAGAAAATTATTCAAGATTGATAAACCATCAATGTCAGTAAATGTAGCATAAAAATATTTAAAAACAATTCCTTTTTAACACATTTTAAAAGTGTTCGCTTTTCCTTCGATGCAATTTTTCACTTGCAATAATAAAATTGTATTTTAATTACTTAATTCTGCTGTGATGAATCCGGATAATCTTTTATGAATCTTAATCATCTTCTCAAATATTTAACTTTCGACAAAAATTTTAAATATTTGAGAAGATATGATAAATAACATTTAAATATTTGAAATATTTCGCTAAAAATGTTGACAAAATTTTTAGCGAAGATTGGTGCTTACGAAAAAAAATTACTTTGAATGTTTCTAAAATATAGATAGAACAGTTGCGTTCATCAAGGCACTTAACATTTTATAGTAAATAAAACAGATATGAAATAAAACTAAGGAAATTTAAATATGCACTACAGTGCAATAACAGATAAGACGCTTTCAATTTCTCTTTTTTTTTTCTTTTGAATTTCTCAAAAAAATACCTAGAGTATTATTTTATAACTTTGAAGAGTGTGGTAAATTTTCAAACCTTAAGAGTTGATTTGAGGGAGCGCCAATAGATTAAGAACGAAAACAAGTGTTCTAACATCTTACGCCTGAAAATGCAACAATCAACTTATTAACTCAAAGGACACTTTGTTATTATTTATAAGCATCCATTTTGTAAGAAAATAAGCATTTTTATATTTAAAAAAAATTTAAAATTTTTTTGCCCTAAGATTTTTTTTCTAAAGCATCAGAAATATTCAATAAAAGCAATTAAGTTTTAGTAGCAATTTTTAATTAACAACAAGCATTTTAAAAATTGAAAAAAAAATCGATTAAAATTGAGGAAATACATAAGTTTTTAAAGTAGTTCTTTCCCACCTGCGCAGAAATTTTTTTTTCTTCCCAATTTTGCAGTAATATTTTTTGAAGATAGTTTATTTTTATTTTATTTTATAACCGTCGTTGAACAGCCGACCCAATTTCATGGGTTTACGACTACTTACGTTCAACTCCGTAGCCTTGCAATTTTGAACCAATCCAGAAGACAAGGAAACTCCTGGATCAGTACCCCCAGAGGTATTGATTTGTTGTGGGAACATGGAGGACTTTGAGACTCGACAGATTTAACGTGCATCAGTCACCATTTACTACACGGGGAATCTTCGGCCGGCGAGGATCGAACCCACGACCTCTTGGATATGGAGTTGCCAAATACAATTGACGATAAAATTCTGAAAAAAAGTTATATTTTTAGTTTTTTTTTCCGCGCATAATAATAAAAAAAAAGCTTAATACGCTCATATCTTGCGCAATTTTTAATGATTTTTTTTTCTCAATTTTAAAATTATTATCTTGTAATTAATTAAATATTTCTTCAAAAATTTTGTTCAATTTCATTGAATATTTTTAAGCTATAGCGAAAAGCAGTTGCAAAATAATCCTCAAATTTGGGTAGTGTATGTTCTACATTAACATAACTGTAAGAGGACCAATTGCACTCAATTTTGACATAGTGAAAAATTCTTTTGATTGAGGTATTACCGAAGTATGATACAATAAGAAAACTTAAGTTTATATTTAATTCAATGTTATTAACTTAGATTTCCGATAGGCAAATCTTCATGTAGAGGAATTTATTATACTGGATATCATCTATATATTGATATATTATTCAATAAATTTATACTATGTACCCTACCGTCTAGAGGGAAAAAAATCTTGAAATTCGATAATTTTTATTTTTTGGTACATTGAAAATTCCATATTTGTCTTAAAAAATTTCGCTCATATCCATATTAAAGCAAATTTTTGTTATTTATTTTAATTTTTTGTTACTATTTTATTTGTATTTAACGAATGTCTCACAAATTTAGATCGATAAAAAATTAATTATAGCAAAAATATGTGTGTGTATGTTGCCACCCCAGAAAAAAAACATTCTTAACTTCTTGCACATTTCTTCCATCTCAATTCAATTTTAATGATTTTTTTGTATTAATACTTTCAGAACACAAAAAAAAAACAAAACTGAATTACTGAAATACATTCCGTTAAAACGAAGTTCATAAAAAGTTAAATCCAGTGATAGTGCATAACCATCAACCTAGTGCATAATTTCATTAAAATACCTCTAATACTATATTAGTATGCGGCTTCTTTTGAGAGAATTGGCGAGTTTCTAGACTTCAAGAACTTAACTTGATTCGAAGGTATACACTGAAATACGCCAATGTCAATTTCATTGTGTAACCCCTATGCTTTCTCGGAGTTCTTCTCCCTCTCTGCAACTGACCAGCATTAATAACAGGTGTGTTCTTTGGGGAAGGGCTGTTGTCTTGAGTAGTGTCTTTAGTTGCTGTTATAGAGCGTGAGGGAGATCCTTCAAGGCTCAGAACACCTGTGATATTGAGTCTAGCACCCAACACTGCTATTCAATTTTTGTGCGCTGTGTTATCTTGACATTCCTTAAGTTTAGAAATAGTCAGGAATCTTGTCAAAGTGGTACGGACGACGTGCAGTGATAAAAGTACGAAAAAATAATATAAAATAATTCATTAGCACTGTATTCTACTATTTATTGTATCATCTATTTAAAGTGGCTAGAAATTTCCACATCTGAAAAGTAACTTTTTGTCGTTTGTTGCAAGGGCCAGAAATAATTATACTTTCATTATAGCTGTTGATTTTTTATGTTTTAAGAAGAGTAGAAATATTTTTTCTACCTTGACCCTACAAATAATTAGTTTATTACATCAGTTTAAAGCCATTATGCAAAATGGTATATTTTGTAATTTTTCATTAAGGCTGATTTCATATAGTTGGCTGCCGAAATAGATTCCACGCAGCCTGATCGGTCTTGACCATAACTATTTCTGTATTTAAATTCTTTATTTAAAATTACTTTGATATAATTAAGACGAAAATGGCAACAGCTTACTATAAACATGTCTATAAAGTTTATCCACAGAGAAATATATATAGAGTTTCCACTCTAATGCTAGATCATATTAAAAAAAAAGACTACACGTTTTTTTTCCTTCCTAATCGATCGATGCTCACCAAAATGGCAAAAGTCTGGGGCAAACGGTTTTAGCACCACGTTACGGCAAAAAGTTTAACTATCAGTTAGATTGATGATCGTTTTCTTTTATTATTTTTAATTGAATTTATAAGGTTTTTTTATAATCGTTTGGTTATTTGTTTCATTTTAATTCTATGAAATGCTTAGATGTTAATTCGTTCAGGATATCGTTTGTTAATGAAAATATAAATAAATTTTGCAAAGCAGATTACGATTTATTTAATTCCTTCTCATCATTTTTCTTGGTCTTATATTTATTTCAATGCTCAGTTTAGTACATATTAATAGGGATGAAATACACCATTAATACTTTCAAACAAATGGGAGAATATACCAATACAACCAAAGAAGCATTTAATAAATTCTTCATAATTCTTCATTCATGGGCGTTATTAATGAGAGATTTTTTACTTTTATCTATTTATAGTAGAATTTATTATATGATAAAATAGAAATAGATAGGAGTAAATAAAAAGATTAAATAAATATTTTCTACGTATTATGGAACTAAAATATAAAATAAAAGAATTGGAGTTGATTAGAAAACTTCATGTTTCTACATAAATGCACAATATGAAAATGTTAAAAAAAAAAAAAAAAAAAAACTTAAGTTTACGCAATCTTAACTTAATTCAATAATTTTGATTGAAATAAAGTTTAAAAAACCAACTTTAAAACAACAAATTACGGAGAATCATTACTCATTCATGTGACAAATATGGTCTTGCTGAAGTAAAAAAAAAAAAAAAAAAAAAAAAAAATTGGCAAAGACACTACATAATATACCTTAGAGTGTTAATTATTCATAACTAACTTCTGAATGAACTAATCTCTAGCGTAAGTATTGGTAGAGGGCGCTGTAAGCAGACCATAAAAATTTTTAAACACGTCGTGATGACGTCAGAGTGGATCGCCCCTAAATATTATAGTGAATGATAAAGAATTATCACTCTAATGCTTGAGCATATCTAAAAAGAAGCGTTTTTTTTTTTTTTTTAATTTTTATTATTATTTTTTTTCACAGGGTGGAAAAACGGCAACAAATTATTTTAGCACCATGTTGGGGTAAAAGGCTTAACAACTAATTAGTTTGATGAGTTTATCGTTTGCTTTTAAATTTTTTTAATTGAATTAATGAAGTATGCTGTAATCGTTTGTTTGTTTCTTTTATTTTAATTCGATTAAATTCTTAGATGTTTCTTCTTTAAGAATGCGTGTGTTAAGGAACAGCAACATTAGCATAAATTCACGGAATCCTAATTTTATTCAATAACTTTTATTGAAGTAAAGGCAAAAAGTCAACTTTAGCTATAAGTCGCAATCAAGTATTATGCATTCTACAAATAAAATTGTATAGAAGTAATATGACAGAGACACTGGACTATAAATAGTACGGATTCAAACATTCATATCTATTGTACGAGTACACTATCAACTTATCGTTTCCTTCTTTCTGGTGTCGCTAGGAGGCGCAGATGCACGTTGGACTGGGCGTGAAGAAACTTTTTGAAAAGCGTCGTAATAACTGAAGATCCTCCTTAAGTATTATTTTTCATGATCATTATGATGAATCTCTTTATTTAAAATTATTTTGGTACACTGATTATGAAACTAATAGCAGAAACCATAAGTTTATCGATGCAGTTCATCTCATTCGCAGATATAAACTAAATCTCTCGTGATTATTTGTTTGTTTAAACTGGCAACAACACAATTTTGTAACTTTTATTTAAATTTTTTTCGTCATTCTAAGTTCCGCTGTAACAAAAATTTTCAAAGAACGCAAAAAGTATTATTTTCTTTGCCGAAACTCAAGTTCTAGAAATGGCATCTTTACTTTCAGTAAGTTTAATTTTACTTCTTATATATTAAACTTTTTTTTTAAATTTATTTCATGGTACTAACTTTCAAATGAGTATGAGTTAATAAGAAAAAATGGCTACGTTTGATTTGCATCGCTTCCTTTCAAAATCCAATTAATAAAAATGTGTTTACTTTAATAGTACTGTTTCGATATAAGTAAAATAGGAACTATACTTAATTTATATTACGAAGAACTCGACTGCTATTAATTTATAAACCTCACTCTTAGTAAGAATAAGTTTGAAAATAAAATGGTAATGTAGAAACTCATTTCGGTTTTTACTTTAACTAAGAATAATTTATAAACTTTAATCAAAGTAAGAGAGAAGATGTAAATGGTAAGAATACGAAATATATAGCTTAATTTAATACTTCTAAGCGTAAATAGAATATTACTAAATTAAAAATAGAATTTTTTTTAACTATGCTATAATTGGCGAAAAAAATGGAGAGTTCTTCTTTTTAAATAATCAAAAAACAAATAAGAACTAGTTACAATTTTAATATTTTCAGGCAACGTCCATATTATATAGTTCAGAAAAAAAGAAGAAAACAGCAAATTATTTAAGCTATTAAATATACAAATAATAATAATAAACGATAATTAAAGTTGATTGATAGTCATCGTATGGTATTAGCAATAATGCCAGATAATTTCCTTGGCGATAAAAGCCAGTGCATTCTTGAGTAATCAAAAAAACAGTTGTTTTAGAAAAAGTTTCTAACATTATCGCCAACAAATAATAGAATGAAACCAGCGTACGACCAAAACAGCATTTCTAATGATCAAAAATCATTTCTTTACAGCAACTAAAAGGTTTTATTGTTATTGTTAGTTTTATTATAACTCTCAAAGTTCAATAAATTTTATAGCATAGAAAATCATTTATGTATAGTATCATTTATTATATAGTAGTTAATGTTTTTGCACAATTGCTATAAAAAGTATTGTTTAAATAAAGTATTTTTAAAAAAATTGATACATTATGGTATTATATCAATTTTATATCATAATGTATCAATAATGTATCAATTTTAACGAATCTTTATCTTTACGAATTATCTTTAACAAATGAAACCGGGTTCTAAGTTTAAAAAAACTATGTAATTGATAGATAGATTTTTAATTATTATTTTTTTATGATAAGAGCTCTCAATTTTTTAAACTCTTTTTTATGCTAAAATTCTACTCCTTTATGATAGAATTATACTTTTAATGATGGAATTCAATTATGCTAATGCTCAACTCCGTATCTTTGTAATTTTGAACCCAATCCAGAAGACAAGGGAACTCGAGGATCAAGTTTTTGGTAGAAATTGGCCTTCGTGGAGGATTTTTTTGATGGAACTAACCCACATTTGCGTTAAATGTAGAGAAAAACCACGAAAACCTCCCATAGTTAGCCTGACGACAAAGGGATTAGCCCATGATCCGTCTACCACTTCGTATAATTTTATGTCAGCACTGTGGTTGATACAAGCCTGATGCGGAATTCGTATCGACCAGCCATTGCTGGAATTCGAACCCTGTTCACCTCAATGGAACGCGAACACTATCTCCTGAGCCATTACGGCTCGTTGTTCCTCAATTGAAAAAGTTGAATTAGAAGGCAAAGCGCCATTAAAAATGAAAACTTCTCTGTGTACTGTACTCAATGGTTTAACCCATTTTAGGCTAAGCTTAGAAATTTTAGAAAATGTGGTATTTTTTTGAAATATGCATAAATTGCATTCATTGAGACACAAAAATGGTTTTGTGCAGGTATAAAAATTTTTTTATTTAGGAAATAAAATAGTGTGTTTATGCACCATTGGTCAAATAAATGGACAAACCGTTAAGTTTTTTTTATGAAATTTGTTTCATTTTTATTTTATCTACAGAACTTGCATTTTTAATCCATCATAAAACTATATGATTAATCTCAAATGGAACAATTACGCATTTTCAAAAAGTCGAATTTGCCATTAACCGTTTCAAGTTAGGAAGCTAAAATAGTGTTCAAATTTTTCAACAATAAGTGTTTACTCCAATTGAATTACCAATATTTTATAGATGTTTTCAGAACCCTTGACAATAGCAGAAAAATATACATCACAATATTAATGAAAAAATATTCATTGAAATGGTGTGTTTACATACTTGGCCGAAAATGGGTTTGCGAAATTTAGCAATCGGAACAAATTCATAGTAATTACGAAAATTTCATTGCTGTTAGCAACCATTGAAAATAATTTCCGTAGCTAAGCTCCTCTCTTATTTGTTTTTATTAAAATCAAACTTTTTTTTTATTTTTTAGATACTATAGAACAGTGTCTTTTAATCCGCTTTATTCGGAGGAACAGTAATATATGTATTTTTTATCACGGACAGTAAAGTTTGTAATTTGGACATTTGGCATGATTTTTTTCTACTTAAAATTGTGGCACTTAAAATCAACTTTTTAACCAGTCTCGTTTCTGATCACTCACATACTCTATAATGAGAAATATTTTGAGACAACCTATTCACATATAATTAAAATTTGTATTTATTCTAGTGCAAATATTAATCTATTAATCCGCGAATCAGAGTATGAGAATTGATGTTTTAAAGCATCAGTTTTTATCGCCAAATGTAGTATGAGAGCTTGACAACCTCTGATTGCTTGGCGAAAAAATATTAATGAGTAAATATTAATTTAATTATTATGCAATAACTCGCATAAGTGACTGAAAAACTCGCACTCTATTATGGCTCAATATGCCATAAATAAATCATTAAATTAACAAAAAATTATTGTTGTCACTTAACTATAATAAATCATAAAAACGAATAATTATTTATTTTAAGTGTATTGTAAGATAGTTGCTTGTTGATATATTGGAGAGAAAAAAATTGGAATGATGAAATATTGAATATTCATTTTACTCACGTCTTTAATGTATAGATGCATTAAGCCTTTACTCAACTTAAATCAGAAATTCTTTAGAAAAGAAAACACGATTGATTTTGAAATTCTTTTTCAGATTTTCGTGACATTGTTAAGCATCGTACTTTCAACAGTTAGATCGCAAGAAAACGTAGAATATACGACGATCGTGGAAACGACAGTAGCGGAAAATTCAACAAAGGAGGCTATGCTAAAAATTGAGAAGTTCGAGAAATCTGAGTCATCAATTTCGCCAGTAAGTGAATCCCAAGAGAAAGTGCAAAATTCGCACGAGCATCATGATAACACGTCAAGAGCTCTAAGCGAAGCTTTTTCACGAGCAGTAATGGAAAATGCCACGCAAGCGCATATGGAAAATCCTACACGAGCAGTAATGGTAGAATCGAATTCAAAAACAGCATCTATTAGAAAGTTCGAGAGATCTCATGATGAACACGAGACAGAAGTGGATGAAGTACAACATACAACTGAAGTACACCATACAACTGAAATGCATGACGTACAACATACTACTGATATACATGAAGTACAACATACGACTGAGACCGGAACGGAAAATTGTACATTGGCAACACCACCAATTGGCAGATTTGAGAGCGAGGGTGCTAACACTGCAATCATGAATGTACCACTTGAGAGTTTCGCTTGTGTTACGTTGATGTGGTTTGGATGGTATATGTATCTGCACTAAGACAGATCTCTCTTTTAACTATTACCGGGTTGTTAAATGGTAAATGAACCACTTTAAGAAACGGAAAAGGATGATTCATTGTATTTTAAGTCATAAAATTTTTAACAGAATTTTATTTTCAAAATTTTGAGTTATTCTAGTTTGTATTTATTTGGCAAAATGAAAAATTAAAGTATTTGGCAGGTGCTGTTAATGCTTATTTGTATTTTTTTTTACGTATTTTAATAATACATGAAATTTATAATTATTGTCAGTATATAAAAGAGAATGAAATGACCGTTAGAATTGTTTAGGTGGCTTATAAGTTCATCTGGCAATTACAACTAAGAAAGCATAAACATATTCGAACTACTCCAGAGACCTATTTAAAGAATTGGCCTAGGCCTTGATCAAACCGCGAAGGCCTTCAACATATAGATGGATAAAGTCAAAGGTATAACAAATAAACTTTTAATTTAGTATTTTTATGTAATAACCAATGCTTGCGATTAAAAGTAAATGGCTTAAACCCCGGCATAGTAATTTGTTGTCACTTGCTCTTATCCGTGTACAACAAAATAGAGCATTGATATAGTACATTATTATATACTGTATATTTATTATGCCGACAAGACTGTGTAAGGGCCTGGGAACTAGCCTTGTATCAGAAAGATTCTGGGTTCGAATCCCAGGCAAGGCATGGATGTTCTTTCATCATCTGTACTATCAGTCCTTATTGTAGGAGCAACGTTAGCCATTTAATATGGTGCCCCTGAAAGAATGGCCAACAAATCTGCCCTATGTACTCTTGAATCGACGAATGTCAAGCCAGGCGGGCATTGGAAAAAACACTCTATGTTACAAGTAACAACTATTGCGAAGTATAGGTCACATTCTATGCTTATAAGACACTTTTTTTTTTCTTTTACAAAGATATTTTTCTTTAACATTCTTGAATTTTCACGTCTCTTAGCACAGCGTTTAGAGACAACTTAGATTTTTTGAAAGCAAAATGCAGTTTCATGAAAAGATAAATGTGGCATATCTTTTGCTCTCGATTTTAGTTATTTCTTCCATTGTTTTCTCAGTCAATAATATTAAATACAAAATTTACAATGTTATTAAGTTACCAGACTTAAATATGATTTTCTATGAACGAAGGATATGAAATACGATTTTCTATAAATGAAAAATTTTCTATAAGCACAAAATCTTAATTTAAAAAACTCAAGACTGTTTCTGAAGGCTCCGCCGTACTATGAAGTGATACTTTTTTGCGAATAATATGCTATTTTTATAACTGCTGTGAGTTTGCAACTGTTACTCATGATTGTTATGTCAAGTTTAGCCTATCTAAAGCTAGCACTATCTACGCTTATTGCGAAAATGGCGCAAAACGTCAATATGAAGAAAAGCTACAGTTTCGTGAAAAGGAAAAGCATTTGTGGTCTAATTTTTTATTATATGAAGACTTACTCCAATGCTGCATTACCTGGGCTCATAAAAATTTGCAAAAAAATGAGAATAAGGCAGTGATTTTGATAATTTTCTTCTACGTGGAAAAAATGTCGCCAAGTTGGCGATTTTTTATAGAAAGTTTAATAAATTTTAAAATATTTAAGCTATTTGTCTGTTCTAAAGCCCAGATAATTCTTCACAGCAAGGTTATATACTGCTCAGAATCATCGCATTGTTTCAGGTAAGGCACTTAAACTAAGGCTTTTTTAATTTTCCTTGGCGACAGAGCTTCGAAAAACAGCGTCAACTCTTGTAATTTGGTGCATAGAAAGGCTCAGTTTTAATTATAAACTCAGCACTTGTTTTTATTTTTCTATTTTAATTAGATTTTTTTTTTAAGTTATTGCAATTTTAAGAACTTTTTTGAGATTTTATCCCATTCTTCTGCTTTAAAAAAAAAGCTTATTTATCTATTGTTTTGGAAAATTTTATTTAAATCTCTCGAGATCTTTATTTAATACGATCGTGCTTCAATCGCACTTCAAGAAGATCGCAAATAGTCCCCTCACACGTGACCTATGGCGTCAGCTCCAGCTGATCGTTTATAAGCAAAATGGCGTTCTAAAGTTGAGCAAAGTTTCTCCACCTAAGTTAGCATCTTAATAGCATCCAAATAGAGTCTCGGTGCTGCCATCTAGTGTGGCAGAAACTAGACGTCCAAATTAACATGACCAACGGTATCTCACCCATTGTGGTGGTCCTGAAAGAGTGGATACCACCTCTGGAGAACGCTCTAGGTCTGCTCATCGGCAATACCGATTGTGCAGCTCATTGGAAATAAAAAAAAAATAAAAAAAGTTAGAATGTTAACTAACTTGAAGTCAATTAAACACAGAGCCGTATCGCGCATCGAATTAGTTGAAATATAATTCTTTCTCGTCAACTTTTATATAATTCTTTCTCGTTTATCTTTCTTAAAATATAATTCTTTCTCGTTTATCTTTCTTGAAATATAATTCCTTCTCATTTATCTTTCTTGAAATAAAATTCTTTCTTGTTTATCTTTCTTGAAATATAATTCTTTCTCGTTTATCTTTCTTAAAATATAATTCTTTCTCGTTTATCTTTATTGAAATATAATTCTTTCTCGTTTATCTTTCTTGAAATATAATTCTTCCTCGTTTATCTTTCTTGAAATATAATTCTTTCTCGTTTATCCTTCTTGAAATATAATTCTTTCTCGTTTATCTTGCTTGAAATATAATCCTTTCTCGTTTATCTTTCTTGAAAGATAATTCTTTCTCGTTTATCAATTAAATTTCATAACAACAACACACAAAAATTTAATAGCGTGATAAAATTTTTGTATTGATAGTTTAGGATTTCTCTTTGTTATAAAAAAGAAAACAATATACACCGAAAAGCCACATTATAAACACCCTGCTAATAACATGTAGGACCACTTTTAGCCCTCAAAACTGCTAGCACCCGCCGTGGCATTAATTCCACAAGGTGCCGATAGGTAGTCTGAGGTATATGGTACCAAGCGCTCACCAACTGGTTCTGCAATTCCCTCACATTGCGAGGGGGTGGGGTGGCAGCACGAATTTGGTTTTCCAAGTAGGACCACAAATGCTCTATTGGATTAAGGTCAGGTGAATTTGGGGGCCAAGACATGTCACTGGAATGTTCCTCGACGATTCGACCCTTATGACATGGTGCATTATCCTGTTGGTAAACACCATCCCCCGCAGGAAAAACTGTTGCCATGAATGGGTGAACCTGGTCTGCAACTATGTTCAAGTAGCTTACGGACGTCGGGGATTGTTCTTTGAAGATTATGGGTCCTGATGTGCCCCATGAAAACATTGTTTCTGGGCGAGAAACCATGAAAACCTGGACGAGCCCATAGTTATAGATGGAGGGTGGTCATAATGTAATGGCTCTTCGGTGTATGTGTTCAAAATTTCGATTAGTGCTTAAGCAAAAATAACACATAAAGCATGGCAAATAAAACATGGCTAAATTGCTCCAAGCAAATTTAGCAAAATTACACTCGTGGTCAATTTCCCTCACAACAGCACCCAACACGGTCTTAATTCTCCCTCTACAACTTTCTTGTCTTTTTTTTCTACATAACCAAATAATAGAACCGTTTTTATTTTCCCCATGGACTCGATATTGAAATCCTTTATAGACAGCACATGGTTTACCATGAGTTGTCGTAATTATTTTTACTGACTTTGTATTATCCATAATTTTATCATGTTAATATCAATACATCCGCAATTTCACGTAAAATAGTGAGTTAGATTAAAGCACACAACGTTTGCAGCTTTGTCAATAATACAACTAGATTAATTTTACACTGTTAGCGCACGAAGCCGATATGAGCTCCGAGGTGATTAGAATCGACCGAAATAAAGCGACCGATGAGAAATAATAAGGGACCATTCATAAAATGAGACGCTATGTGAAATCCGACAGAAATAAAAATCAACGAATCAATTAATCATTCAAAGCTTGATTAGAATTTTATTAGAATTGGATTTGTAGCTTATAAGCTTAATTATAATCAACCGAAGAGAAATACTAAAGAAAGCATTTATAAAATTAAACGCTCGAAGAAATCCGATCGAAAAGAAAATCATAGAATAAAGTAATCATTGAAAGTTTGATTAGAATTTTATTAGAATTGAATTTGTAGCTTATAAGCTTCTTGATAATCAACAGAAGAGAAATACTAAAGAAAGCATTCATAAAATTAAACGCTCGAAGAAGTCCGATCGAAAAGAAAAATCATAGAATAAGGTAATCATACAATAAAGTAATCACTGAAAGTTTGATTAGAATTTTATTAGAATTGGATTTGTAGCTTATAAGCTTCTTGATAATCAACAGAAGAGAAATACTAAAAGAAGTGTTGATAAAAATTAAATGCTGAACGAAATCCAATCGAAAAGAAAAATCATGGAATAAAGTAATCAAAATCAAAATTTAAAGTTTGATTAGAAAGCTACAAAGCGCTCATAAAATCGAACGCAAGGAGAAATTCGACCGAAATGGAAAACCATGAAATAGAGTTGAATGGTTTGAAACTGAACGGTCATTCAAATCAACTCATAAATGCACATTAATAAACAGACACACAGTGTGTTCTGTAATCACCGTCCTTAATGTATATTTTTAGAATTATTTTCAAAGATAAAATTAAAATTATATATACATTAGCAAGGATTAGGATTAGAATTATTTATCTATATATTAGCAAGGTTTAGGATTAGAATTATTTATCTATACATTAGCAAGGATTAGGATTATTTATCTATTATTTATCTATACATTAGCAAGGATTAGGATTGAGAAAGAAAAAAAAAAAGAATATAATAGCGTTATCATAACTTATCGAATCATTAATTCGTTAATGGCGAATTACTAACTAATTGTAATAGCCAATGAAACAGAACCTGTTTGATTGCTGGAACAAACAAATAGGAAGGGAAAGTGGTTCTTAGAATATTATATGGTTATTATACATCTGTCACGTGCAGAATGTTTTTAATTAATTTTTGACAAAGTTTCTAAAAACTTACATTAAGGTTAGTGGTTACGGAACATCTTGTATATTATTTTGTACAGAATATAGTGTTGTATACACACATAATACATACGCTAACAATGTGATAGGAATAAAGGTCATAAAGTAATGCTAAAAATTTTACTAACGGAACTTCTATA